TCGTGCCGGCTTTCTGCTCCGACGACTTTGCCCATAGTCTCAGAGCGGCTGCCGCAGCTCCAGACCTTGCACCTGGCCTCGCAGCAGGTCCAGGGAAAGGGAGAGCCTTTCCTCCAGGAGGCAGACTGAATCCCTGGCCCACCTCTCACTGGCCAGAATTGGATTCATGCCATTCCGGTGGCACTGGGCTGAGACCAGAGGTTCTCAGTGCGTGCACTTGAATAAGGACCTCCTGGGAGCCTGTTACAGATGCAAATTCTCTGACTCAGAAAGCGCGGGGCTAGTTCCCATCCCTGCTTTAACAGGAGGGCCCCTGGGTGATCTGGATGCAGGCTGCCCACCTAGGGGCCACATCCAGGGGCGGAAGGGCAGACGGGGCGGGGCTGCTCCACTCCAGGCCAGTCAGGAGTGATCATGATCCCAGTTCTGCGCGTTTCACGGAAATGGAATCCTACAGACTGTGGCCTGTCCGGTCTGCTCCTGTCACTCAGCAGTGTTCTCCGTCCGTCCGCCATGCCGCCTGTGTCCCACCGCGAGGCAGACCGCAGTTTGGCCTGTCTCCAGCCTCCGGCCTTAGTGAGTGTTGACGATCCGTGTGGCCGCATGCTTTCAGCCCCGGGCGGCACGGGGAGGGGTGCTGCTGGGGCAGGGCTGACTCCTGCGTGGCTCACTGAGGAACCGCCAGGCTGTTTCCCTCTCCGTTCCCGCCAGCACCGTGGAGGGGCTCGGACGCCAACACCAACACCTGTTACCCTCTGACTGGTTCTCGTGCACGAGGAGGCCCTGCCCTGAAGGAGGTGTGCAGGGGGAGCCTGAGATGCCGTGGCCGGCGGTGGGCGTTCAGAGGTGTGCTAGATGCATCCTGGGAGGGCTTCCTGCAGCCATGGCTCACTTGGCCGCCTCCACGCTGCCCTGCCCGGGAGCTCAGCCTCTGCCCTGTGGCCTCCACCCCCTCCAGGAGCCCAATCCTGAGCTTCACCCCGCCCCTGCTGCATCTCACCAGCCGGGCAGAGGGCTGATGTCACTGCCAATAATGCTGTCATCAGGGCTCAAGACCGCTCGCCATTCCTCTTCTTCTCAGACCCAGCTCTGGGCCCAGGGTGCTTTTGGGCTCAGCCGGCCGGCCGGGGAGGTGGCTGGGCTCCACCTGCCCTGTCCATAGGCCCCAGGAAGGTTCCTTCCCGAGATTGGGACTGGGGAGGGCCACACACCCCGACCCCCGCTGCGGCGGTGCTGCCCCCTGGTGTCCACGCACCGCACCTCCAGGGGCCGCCCCTGGGAACGCATGGCCCTTTGTCAGGAATGAACTTGGCATGTCCGCAGGACCCCAAGACCAGCGTCTAACTGACTTTGAGCACACCCTCGTGTCAGGCCAGCTTAGGCCAGGGACATACACAACTCAGTGTACCCAGCAGCTCTGTGGTGGTACAGGTACAGTGGCCAGCCCTGAAAACAGTGAGCTGTTCTCAGGAGACCTGCTTCAGATGGTCTGGGGAGCCTAAGTGCTCCGTGCCCTGTTGGGGTGCATCCCATGCCGGCGCTCCTCACTCCCTGGGCACCACTTAGGAGGGCCTGCCCATGGGCTGCCCCAAGGCCCTCCCCTACAGCATCCCTCCTGGGGTCAGGAGGCTTCGGGGGGGGGATTTGCACCCCTTCTAGACCCACTGCAGACCACAGCAGTCCAGAACTCCCAGCTATACCCCATTCTGAGTCCTCGTCCCCCCGCTGTTTGGCCTCTCCTGAGGGGTGTGCCCAGGTTGCCACCAGCAGTACCAGGAGAGTGGGGTGGGCTGAGGAGGGGTCCGGCCCTACACCTGACCAGGAGCGTCTGTCAGGGTAGGAAGCTGGAGGGCGTCTGGTCGAACGGTCCAGTAGGCTGGTTTACATGGGGGTGCTGAAATGTCGGGTGACCTGGCCGGGCTCCCCAGCTGGCATCGTGCTCGTGACGCACGCGGCCGGCTGTCCCCCAGGGTTCCTTGAGGAACAGGAAGGGGACTACCCAGGCACAGGCCCTGTCCAGGGAGCCGGGAAGGCAGCCATGAGCCACATGAACGAGGGAGGAGCGAGGCCCAGAGTGAGTGTGTGCGTGTGAGGGAGCAGGTGGGTGGGCGAGGAAAAGTCTCACACACAGATACCCGATCTGGTCACTAGCACTCGGCAACCTCACTGCTCACCAGAGAAGTTTCCATAAGCAGCATGAGTCAGATGAAAGGCGAAGGTCTGTGGTCAGTGAGTGAAGACAGTAGCATTACTCATCATCAAGGAGGGGAGCACCACCAGGCAGGGGGGCACTGACGCAGGCTGGGCCTGGGGTCAAGCTGGGCACTGGCGCCCAGGCCAGCCCTTGCCCACGCCCTCCCCAGCTGCCCCTGTCCAGCTGGCATTCGGACCTGGTGCCCTCTGCCTGCTGCCCCTCAGGCCTTGCCCTGGGTGCCCCCGCACCCAGCATGCAGCTGGCCCGTGGCATCGGGGTTCCCCTAGGAGCCCGTCAGCTAAGGTAAGCGCGCCCTGCACACTGTGTACAGTGGATCGGTTGGTGTCTTAGTGCGGACACCCGAGCTGTTTGGGCCCTCAGCCCAGAGCTTCTCCTGGTCCCCAGTGGTCACTGTCCCTCCTCATACACATTTTCTCATTTCACGCGGCCCCAAGCCGTCACTGCAGACACCCTCCGAGACCGGCCGGCGAAGGAGACCCTCCGGATCACCCCTTCTGACCTTGGAACCCGGCTCACTGTACCCTAGCCCCGCGCACCCGGCTCCAGCCACCTGATCCCGCCCACGCCGGCCCCGCCCACACAGCGGCAGTCCCGGGACCTCTCCATCACCACCGGAGGAGGCGTGCTGCGGCGGCTGGTGCGACTGGCTACCTGAGGAGGCCTCCACCGGACCCCTTGCCCAGGGCTGGGGCCGCACGTGCCAGCGACCTCAGCCCACCTGTCGTCCTTCCCTCCTGTCCGAAAACACTGGTCCCAGGGCAGTACTGAGGCGCCGGGACCAGGTGGCTTGTGGCAACTTCTCAGGCTGAAGCGTGGAAAGACCCAGGAAGAACCCCCAGGTGGGACACTTGTGCACCTGCCAGGGGCCCTCAGACAGCCTGGTCACCCTGGTGCCCGAGGGGCAGGCTCTGAGCTCCCTGAGGACAGAGGACAGAAAACCTCGACAGAGCACGTTGGGCCAGACAGCTGAGAAGCCAGCAGCCCCTGCGCAGGTGTCCAGCTGGTCACTGGGGGCCGTGGGACAGAAAGGAGGTGGGGACAGGCTCCCCAGGGGAAGGGCCGGTGAAGAGGGAGGCAGAGACCAGAGGAGGGCCGGGGATGGCCGAGAGAAGAGCCGGGACTGGTCCTCCCCCAGAGGCCCCTGGAGGAACCAGCGCTGCCGACACCTTGGTCTTGGACTTCCAGCCCCAGACAGAGTGGGAGAGAACAAGTTTCATGGCAAGCCCCCGGGGCCTGTGTTAATTGGTTACAGCAGCCCCTGCAAACCAGCACAGGGCACCCCACGGAAGGCTCACGGGCCCCTCCCGCGGCACCCAGCTCTCTCCCCAGCGCAGAGCATTCTGGTCAGTTCCCAGAAGCCACGGCACATCACTTCGAGAGCCCAGGGGCTCACACCCCTCCAAGAGAGCCCTGGAGGAAAGCGTGTGCCCGAAGAGGTAAAGGACATCATTTCATCAGAAAGGAACTTGGGACTGGCATGCATTTTTGCAACTTTATTTCCAGATTTATTTTCTAATTGTGTCTTTTCAATGTCTCTCACTGCAAGGAAGGACAGTGGACAGCCAGCTGCCTTCCAGACACGAGAACGTAACTTGGCACCATGGCCCGGCACAGCTCCTGTGAAGGGCAGGCGCCTGGGGGTGCCCGGGCCCCTCCGTGGGGCATGCAGCCTGCTGGGCTCCTATTTCAGAGTGCCTGAGCAGAGGTAGTGGGTCAGCCCCCCACACTGACCCGGGAGGTGGGTGCTATTGACCCTGTTACAGGCGGGAAACCAAGGCTGTGCCGTGACCTGGGTGCGATGATGCTGGCCGGCGCAGAGCCAGGCCCCGACTCCAGGCTTCATGGTGGCGTGCTCTACCCGAACTCCATCCACACCTTGCTGTGGGGATGGAGGCCTGGGCGTCACCTGCTCACTCCTGACCCCCCTGTTCCAAGCCCTCAGCAGCTTCTCCCCTGACAGTGAAGCCAGGAAGCCTCGATGCGCAGGAATTCCAGCTATTCTCCGAGGCTCTTTGGTGGCCGTGTCACCCTTCCTGGGGTGTCCGCCAGCATTCCCCGCCTGGGCACCCTCCAGAAGATATGCCGGCCGCCTGCCGGAAGCTCCGCTGTAGGGTCCACAGCAGCCTGTGGCCTCAGACCTGCCCAGCACGGAGCAGCCCAGGGCCCTCAGGGCTGGGCTGCTACCCCCACCTCTCAGGCCTCCGCTGTCCCACCGTGACCGGGCACTGTGCAAAGCTCCCAGTTTGCACGGGCACATTGAGGCACAACACAAAGGTCCCGTGTGGTACGATCGCGGTCATCCAAGCAATGCTTTGTAGAGAAGCGCAGAAGATACAGTCATCACGGTGGATACTGACCAGGCACCTACTTCGTGTGTGGCCTGGGCCAGCTGCCGGCAGCACCAGGCGGGCACGAGGCCTCTGCCGAGGCCCTGCTGTTCGCTGACAGCCGGGTGAGCCAGCCAGCTCGAGTGCAGAGGAAGAGACCATCGTGCCTGCCATGTGCTGCAGGGCACCCCGCGGCCTGGAGCATCGCCCTGCCCCTGGGCATGCTGCCACCTTCTGTGCGGGGCCCAGTGGGACGGCCCAGGGGTGCTGGGACCCTGAGGCGCAGCGGGTTACGGAGGGCATGGCTCCGGGAATGAGAGATTGGCGGCGTGCTTTCCAGAGGGGGCTTCACAGCCAGCGCCATGGACCCTGGCTAGCAAGCCCTCAGCGGATGGGGAAGCCACAGCCCTGGCCCCTGGGCTCCCATGATGGCCATCCTGCCCTGCAGGACACTGGGCTCAGCGTGACTGTTCATTCAGCCTCTCCAGAGTGTCCAGTAAGCCCCGAAGGGCCGGCTCCGACTCTGATGGGTGGACAGTCCTGGGGAATGTGGAGTCGTTTGTGAGCGACGTGGGCAGCGGCACCTCCTCTGAGTCCTTCGAACATGTGAGCTTGGTGACTTCTGCTTTTGCAGAGTACTTTTTCCATTCCTTGTGGATTCTGGACACCTCTTGCCGTGAATGGTCCGTGGCCAGCACGTAGATGATGGGGTCGGCCACGCTGTTCACCGTGGACAGGCACAGGAACACCGCGGAGAGCTTGCACAGGCTGGCTTCAAAGGCATGCATGACGCCCGGGTCTCCCTTGTAGTAGGAATAGGCCACGGCTTTAGTGAGGAGCACCAGGTGGTAGGGGGCGAAGCAGACCAAGAAGATGGTCACGACCGCTATGGCCGAGTGCTTCACCTTGGCCTTCTGGGCGTCGCTCAGGGCCGTGCTCAGCTTGATGCTCCTGAAGATGCGCTGGTTGGTGAACGCGATGATGAGCAGGGGGATGGCGAACCCCATGGTGAAGCGCAAGTAGTAGTACCCAGCGATCTTGGTGTCCATCGACGCCTCGAAGCACGTCTCCTTCTCGTCCATTTTAAACACCGGGCAGTGAGCGAGCCCGACGACAGTAAAGACGGACACGGAGATGAGGGCGGCGGTCCGCTGGTGGCGGCGGCCGCGGCTCTCCAGGGCGTACACCACCGCCGTGAAGCGGTCGCAGGAAATGCAGCACAAGAAGAGAATGCTCACGTACAGATTGCAGAAAAAGATGTAGCCCGTCACCCTGCAGGCCCAGACGCCCAGAGTCCAGTAGTGCTGGTTCTGGATGTAAACAGCCCAGAGGGGCAGGGTGCTGATGTAGAGCAGCTCGCAGAGCGCCAGGCAGAACAGGTAGACGGCCAGCACGTTGCCCTGGAGCACCTGCAGCAGCGTGAGCCAGGCCGTCAGGCAGTTGGCCGGCAGCCCCAGCACGAACACCGCGCTGTACACCACCACCAGGAACACTCTGCTGTCCTCGAAGGACCCGTTGCAGTTCGAGGTGACCACATCAGGGAGCACGGTCACCGGCCCAGGGCTGGTTACTGCACTGGCGTTTCCTGTGGGACAGAGACAAGCATGAAGACAGGCCTCCCTGGGAACCACCTGGGAGAGACTTTATGGCGCTAAGAAAGGGTAAGATTCAGGCTAACTCCAGACTAGACACACCAGGTGCTTACACGTTTCCAAGTGGGTTCCTTAAAATGACTCTCCGACCTCTGGTCTCCAACCCGACGGCATTACGGACAGAATACACGGGCTGGTGCAGTACCCAGTCCTTGGGACGGGGGGTAAGGCCGCAGAGGGAATTAAGCTTGCTAAGTGGCTGACAGAGCAACAGGGACTCTATCACGGATGACCCAGGGGCCCGATGTAAGCACGGGGTCCTTGCTTGCAGAAGAGGGAGGAAGACAGGAGAGGGGTTATGGAGGGTCGTGACAACTCCGGCAGCTGCTGGCGACTTTGCCGAGGGAGGAAGGGGCCGCGGGCCCTGGGAAGCAGGCGAGGGACGGACCCTCCCCTAGCGCCTCCGGAAGGAATGCAGCTCGTGCCACCCCATCTTGGCCCATCTCCCACGGCTCACCCCCAGGACGATGACGATAGTAAGTTTGCACTTTTAAGCCTCTAAGTTTGTGGGAATTTGAAGCAGCAGCTGCAGGAAAGAGGTCAAATTTCTAATAATGCTTTTAGCAGAAAGGCTTTTATTGCTTGAGGTAAAAATGGCTCTCTTTTGATTACTATCCATTTGGTGTGTTTTTTCCAGCCTTCTACCTCCGAACCATCTGCATCCCCATGTTTTAGATGTGACACTTAGGAGAAGCTTGTGGCTGGATTTGAAAACTGGATGCTCTGAGCTCCGTTACTGCGTGCGGTCCATTTATATTGATACGGTTTTGTTTCCCCCTCATTTTGTGCTCTTCTGTCTGCCCTTTCTGTTCCCCTTCAGCCTTCTGTGACGGGTTGAGCTGTGTTCCCCACCCCCAGAAAAATACTTGGTGGAGACCTGGCCCCAGCAGCCCAGAGCATGGCTGGAGGTGGTCAGGTTACAGGGAGGTCATCTGGGAGGGCCCTAACCCCCGGGGACATTTGAGCACAGGGACACATGCAGGGCAGACTATGTGTGTGGGACACAGAGAAGGCGGCCATCCACAAGCCCAGGAGGGCGGCTGGAACATGTTCTTTCTTCCGCACCAGCAAGCACACACCCCTTCTGGATTTGTTCCGTTCTTGAATGCTGTTTCCCCCCACATTGGTTTGGAAATTATCATTAGGTCTATTTGTAGTCTTGCAGAGACTACTGTGGAAATGGAATATGCAGGTTTGTAGCATCTGGAGCTCGTCAGAGCCTGCAGCCTCCTGAATGGGCGGGAGCCTCGGGCGTTGTCCATCCAGTGCCCCGACTGGCCTGTGTGCCACTCTGGCCTGGTGTGGCGGCTCGTGTGTTTGTATCCTCACACGTGGGCACGGTTGTCCGCCATGTGCAGGACGAGCCACGTGGCAGCCAGGCTCCCACCCGCTCCTCTCCCGTAGTCTCTGGCCTCAGGACCTCCTCCGGCCGTGGAGAACAGGAGCCTGTGCGACGCCCTCTTCACGCGGTTGCAGCAGGTGGTCTCCTGGGGGTCCTGGCCTCTCCAGCCGTGAGGAGCTGTCACCCGTTGGTCTGACTTTGGACCCTCTGCGTCCGAGAGCATATAAATGCCACCGTTGCGCACAGACCCTGTGTCCGGCCCCTCGGGGCTCTGCTCTGTTTGTCTGCCACACGAGGCTCCTGGTCCCGCCCGTCGGAGCCCGTGGCCTCCGCCCTGTCCTCGACCCGCAGTGCCAGCCAGTGTCCCACGACGTCTCTCCGTCTGTGTCGGTCCAAGTTGTGCCTTTTTAGAAGTCAGTGATACACTTTCATCACCCGAGCTCAGGGGGCCAGAGGGCAGGGGTCCTGGGATTCACTCCAGAGCTCGTTTCCCGGCAGCTCTCACGCTGGGGCTGTCCTTTGGGGTCCTGTAGGCAGGTGTCCCCTTGCAGACCCCACGCCCACCCCACATGAGAGCCCGGGGCTTCCCTGCCGTCCCCATCATTTGGGAAGAGAACAGCAGTGAATCAGCACGGGAATGGAAAACAGCTCTGGGGCATCACGTCGGTGAGCGTCCCCATGCTGATTCTCCCTGAGAGTCACTGTGCGGTGCCATGTGGAGTCCAAGGCCCGGAGACGTTCAGGGCTCTGGAGTTCCGGGGACCCGAGGGGCCCCGTCAGTGCACAGCCTCGGGCACCCAGCCAGCCCAGTGCCCACGGGGAAGACAAGCTTTCACGGAGCTCTGCCGACAGGTGACCCGGGCTTCGAGGGACTTCCTAGCGGGAACGTGTTGAGGCTGGCTGATGGGCCACGGCGTGCCAAATGGGTGCCCCAGGGGAGTGCTCCCTGCCGTGTCCCATCCATGCCTGGACACAGGGACTCCTCCAGGCCCCACTCCAGGGCCCATTTGTCAGGGAGGACCCTGGAGGAAGGTGTGACCTGACGCCCGCCTGCCCATCACCACCCCGTCCAACAGCAAGGAGGCCCGACCCCACGCTCATGCTGCCAGAGCCCGAGGTCGGTCCTCACCTGTCCTCCCTCCCGGGTGCTCCTGAGGGGCAGGGGACATGTGGGTGGATGAGTCATGAAGACAGAGTGCTGTGCTGGGAGGGGCGACCCCAGTGCTAAGGGTCAGGGACACGGCCGTGCCTCACGCATTGTCTGGGGACCCACTGTGGGGAAGGAAGCTGCCACATCCCAGGCACCACCCGCTCCTGCCCAGCCTGCTCTCCTGGGTACCCTCTGAGCCCCCAACCTGCACCCAGAGCCTCCCTGGAGCCTCTCTTCCCTCCCGCCCTCCCCTGGGACCCGTCATGGGGATGAGCGTCTGTGGCCTTCGAGGTGATGCGTGCTTCCCAGAGCCTGTGCCCCTGGGCTCTGCCTTTCCATTCCTCCAGAGATGCCGCGCCATCCTAGCCCTGGACCCCACCTCTCCTCCCCCATGCACTCATGCTCCCGAGGTAAACATGCTCCCGAGGTCAGCAGGGAGCATGGACAGCTGCCAGCCCAACGCCAATGCAGGCCGATGGCTCCTCTGGCCACGGCGGCATCTGGCCAGGCCTCGGTGACAGCACGGAAGGGAGCTGTGGCTTCTCGTGCCCCTGAGTCACGACGCCGCGGCCTCCCTGCATGGACGTCCACTGGGTTAGGAAAGCAGCACATTCCAAAGGCTAACCTCGCCGCGGGTGTCCGGCCAGGGCACCTCGCCGGGTCTCGGCAGCCTGGCCGGGCAGGGCCACCGTCGCAGAGTGCAGGCCGCCAGCGGCGCCTGGCTTATTTTCCTGCTGGGGTTTCATGGTCAGGCCTCCAACAATGCGTCCCCGAGCGACAGGGTCCATCAGCCTCACGGCCGGACCCTGACGCCTGGTCATTCCACTCACGCGTCTCCCCCAATGCTCTGATTCTGGTAGAATGCACGTAATAGAAAAGTTACCGTCTTTGCATTTTTACGTGGGCAGCTCAGGGCTGTTGGCGACATTCCCGTTGCCATGCAGCCACCACCGCGGCCCCTCCACAGGACGCTTGTCATCTTGTGAGACTCACACCCTGTCCCCATGACACCAGAGCTCCACTCGTCTGCCCGGGCGCCTGCCCCCCGCATTCCGGAGGTCCCCACGGGGGTGTTCTTGTGCCTGGCTTCTCTCCCTTGGACCATGTCCTCAAGGGCCACCCACATCCCAGCCGGCGGCACACGAGTCACAGTCCCGTGTGCTGGAGCCATCCGAACCTGTGTCCTTTGGCAGAAGGACGCCCGGCTCATCCCCACGTCCGTCTGCAGAGGGGCGCCCAGCTCATCCCCACGTCCGTCTGCAGAGGGGCGCCCGGCTCATCCCCAGGTCCGTCTGCAGCTTGTCCCCACGTCTGTCTGCAGAGGGGCGCCCGGCTTGTCCCCAGGTCCGTCTGGGGAGGGACACCCGGCTCGTTCCCACATCTGTCCTTCGTGAGTCCTGCTGCCCGGGACATGAGGTAGAGCTTCACCTCAACACCCTGCTTTCACTTCTTTTGGGTAAATACCCAGAAGTGGAATTGCTGTGTCATAGGGAAGTTCTATATTCAGCTTTTTGAGGAACCACCCAGCGGCTTTGCACACAGCTGCACCGCCTTTTGCTCCCACCAACCGTGCACGGGGTTCCAGTTCCTCCACAGCCTCGCCGACACTTGGCAACTGGATTTTTAAGAGTCGTCAACATGATGGGGCAGGGTGGCCGTGTGGCTGACCCCCCCGGGCCCCCCCTTCTGAAGGCCTTGGACAGGTGCTGCCATCCCCACGCGGAGGCAAGGGGCTGGCGCTCAGGGACGTGAGCGCAGCCAAGCCCAGTTATAGGTTCTTCCCCAAGACTGGGGTGGCAGCAGCGGGTGGAGGGGGCACAGGGGGTACGGGCCGCCGCGGATCTCAGACAGGAGGGGAGGGCACCCTGTATTTGCTGGGGCTCCCCGGCAGGTCCACACGGGGGACCCTGACCTCCTGGTTGGGGTGGATGAAGCCCCGGGAGACGGGGTGAGAAGCTCCTGTGGGGCGTCTGAGACAGCTCTGGGGCTCTGCACTGCCCCAGAAATGGGAAGGGTGGGGGCCCTGGTGCCCGCTCGGTCCTGTTCCTGCTCTTTCCTCGCACTTCAAAACAGTAAAGAAACAGATGCCCCCCGACGGAGAGTCTCCACCTTCACTGTTTATGACTTAGTTTTTATTTCAGTAAATCTATTTTTGCCATGCTAGGTTTTGAACGAAGTATCCCCGTTTGAGGCAAAGTGCATTGGACAAAAATTCTTACAGGCTCCCTCCTAAATGTTTAAAGTCAAAGGAGACGTGAAGGGAGGGCGCTCTCACCTGGCATATATGAAGGTTCCGATATCATGGTGGCTCTAAAAGACTGTCTAGTACTCGTCATACATTCTGTCGATCCTATTGAGAAGTTTGCTCTGAGAGTTTAAAATGACCTGGAGAAAGAGGAAAGTGAAATGACTTTGGGGAAATCAGATTAAATCACAAATGAAGCCATTCAACAGATGCTTAGTGAGCATTTACTTTGTGCCAAATCTTGTATTTATCCTTTATCCTATTAAGCTCCTTAATATATATATATTAATATTTATATATAATTATAATTAATATAATTAATATTTATATATATATTAATATATATATAATATTTATATATTAAGCTCCTTAATATATAAAGAACATCTACAAATCAATTAAGTTTCAAAGCCAATAAGCAGATAATTCACAAAAGAAATTAAAGCAGCTCCTAAAAATTCAAAAAAAAAAATGTTCAACTCCATTTGTAATCAAAGACACGTGAACATAAACACCAAAATGATAGTCTTTTTTTGCCTGTGAGGTTGGCAAAAATAAAGAACTTTGATTCTCAGTGTTGGCAGAAGTGTGAGGAAGTGGGTGCCCTTTCCTGTTGTTGATAGGAGCATCAATGGGCACAAATGTGTTGGAGCACCGTTTTGCAACATGTATCCCAAATCCTCAACGTGCTTAACTTTCGATCATGTAAAATCCTTTCTAGGAATTTTTCCTGTTGAAATAATGAGCCAAGATGTGAAGTACATGCGACCTGGAAGCACGTGACAGCACATCGCCCCATGTGGGCAGGACCAGGACCCCCAGACAGCACCCACGACGCCTGCAGAGCACAGAGTGTGGGCCGTTCTGAAGGCACAGCGGGTCCTGGCAGGTAAGGGGCACCGTCCAGGGTGCCTGCTTCCTCACCTAAGCAGAGGCGCCTCGGAAACAGCCTCTGTCCTCATCAGCCAGAGTGTCCGGCGGGAGGCGAGTGCTCTAAACCCATCCTCTGACCGCGCCGACGGCACAGCAGAGCCCTGGGGGCCTGCCGGCTCCCGCCCGGTGAGGCAGGTCAGAGGCTGGGCCCAGAGGGGCTCCTGCGCTGGTTCCCACCCCAGGCCGCATACTCAGGGGGAGACACCCATGGGGAGCCAACGGCTGCACCCTAAGAGTAGATTAGCCACCCAGCCGCCCTTGTCGCTGTTTCTCCGTTGACTAGGATGGCTGGGATATGTGCCTGAAGCTACAGAAACCTTGTTGACTTAGCAAGGACTTTCAAGGCCTACCTGGAAAATCCAGACAAAGGGGACTCTAGAAACAGTAGAAGGTATTAACCTTCTGAGGCTGACGTTCCCAGATAGGCCGGGAGGCGCGTGCCTGGAGGGTCACTGGGCCTTGCCTGTCCCACCCCAGGTCTCAGATCTGCCCCCCCGCCCCCCACAACCTACGCTGGGAAGCGGGGCCACCCCTGAGCGTTCTCTGCCTGAGGTCTGTGGCCTGGCGCAGGAGGATCACGTGCAGGACTCTGCCCCTTAAAGAGAAGGGCCAAGCTGCTCCCAGCGGTCACACAGCAGAGCCTGCGCAGGGCACACCCCAGAACAGAGACCCAGCCGGCTGGGGAGGACTGAGCGGGGTCCCCAAGGGAGGAGTGGCTGGGAGGCCAGTCCACCTGTGAGGCATTCAGGTGCCTCTGAGCCCCAGGAGCATGGGTGGGATGGACACGCCAACCTCGCCCCGGGCCAGATTTCCTTCCTCAGAACGGTGAGCTGCCTGAGGCAGGGCCTCGGGGAGGTCTGCAGCGTTCTGGAAGCTGGGGTGCTGAGCGCCCCCACCCCGGGGCCTGCAGTGCTCACTCTTCCCTGAAGCACACAGGAGCAGAGAGGGAGTGGTATCTCTGGAAGCCGCTTCTGCAAATACCAGAGGAAGTGGTGGCCCAACTGAAAATGTGCGCTCTCCTCCCGAGTGAGGCCAGCTGGCAGAAGGGCCCTCTTCCAGGGCTGCCCCTGAGGCCCCAGGGGCCTGCACTCTGAGGGCACAGACAGGTCAGGGCTGAGTGGGGTTCCCGGGGGGCCTGGGGGGCCCTGCTCACGTGGTCCATGTAATGCCAGGTGCTGATGTCCAGGTCTGGGGCCGCCCGGCTGGACAGAGGGACGGGGACAGGGAGGGACCACCCTGGAAGAGCCCGAGGGCCAGCACCAGGCCCAGGCTGGAAGAGCTGGGTGCTGGGATGGCCCGAGAGAGCAGGGCCTAGCCCTCCAGGGCATTCTGCCATCGAGCACCGCGGTCTTGCTGCTGCTGGCTGGTGCTCTAGACGCCCACCTCTCGTTCCTCAGAGCCTGTCCTGGCCCCTGCCTGACGGATACACAGCTTCCAACCTCAGCCCACGGGCCTCCCAGGTGTCTTCCTGTCTCCCCTACTCTTTCCTACTGCCCCTACTTTCTCCTACTTTTCTGTGCCCCCCCCTTCCAGGTGAGCAGGCCCCAGAGCGGGCCAGGCCTCACCCCGCCAACCTCAGTGGGCTCTTGCATCACCCTTGTGGCTAGGACGTGGGGCAGCCGGGCCTGGATGTGGAGCCCGGGTGCTGACCACAGCGCCCAGCACGGCCAGGGTCTTCGCTGCGCCAGGGTCGGATGGGTCCTCCCGCGGGGCCGGAGGGTGTGTGGGGGGACAAGGGCTGAGGGGGTGGCTCTCTGTGCTCCTCCACACACAGCAGCGGGCCATCTTGGGGACCCACAGAGGCAGGTCTCTGCGGCGGGGCCGGGGGAGTGACAGACCCCACGGGGTGGGCCGACTCAGTGGCTGGCTGCTCCCAGCCCCGGGGCGCAAGGGAGGGGCCAACCGGCCCCATCTGCAACGCCAGCCTGGGCCTGAACCTCGGGGGGTCTCTGCGCTTGGTCTGTGCTCTGGGGAAAAGCCACGGTAGCCACAGAGCTACGGGGTGGGTGGGCGGGTCAGCCTGAAGCTTCTGTCGCCCTGCCGCTGGTCCCCTGCCAGCCCTGAGCACGACATCCCGGGGGCCCGCGAGCCCCGCGTCCTCCTGGCCAGACCCGGCCTCTCTGCCTCCAGCTGCACCAGGTCCCCTTCCGGCCCTTCTGGTCTCGCGGCTCACAGCGTGGCTCCCGCAGCAGCCCGCGAGCCCACGGCCCACTCACAGCGCTTCTGAACCGGCCCACTCTCCCTGCATTCGCCGGCACTGTCCCCGGCGTTCCGCGTTCTGGGTTTGCCGTGCGTCCCTCAAGTCTTTCAAAATACATTCTTTAACTCGTTTTACATAACTTTTCAAGCAGAACCAAAGCAGAGCCACAGGGTGCACACGATTTTCACCCTGCCCTGGCTCCCTTGGCGTTCGTGCGAGTGGTTTCCCCAACCTGACATGTTGTTGAAACCCCCGGGGCCGGGATCGGCGGTACCATGGCTGGACATGCCAGGTTCTTCCAAGTTCCCCACATCCTCACGCCCAATCCTTGACTCCATTTCTTTTTCTTTTTTTTAAGATTTTATTTATTTGACAGAGACAGAGCACGAGCAGGGGGAGCGGCAGACGGAGCAGGAGAAGCAGACTCTCCGCGGAGCAGGGAG